GTTGAGTCTTGAACTGACACGGGAGCCTGCCTTTGCTGACCACCTTTTTGTCCCCATTCACGACTGTTTGTGGATGGTTTCCCATGTAGTTTCCAACATCGTTCTTTGGAGTGTCTTGTTTTCTTGCAGTACGTGCACCACAACTCTTCACGATCTTTATGCACACTTGACTGATTGGTCTTTTCCACAGCAACTTTGTCCAGTACCAGCCTCTGAGGTTTTGAGCTTAGAAGAGCAGAATTATCAGTTGAAGGCGACTCTAACATAATGCCCCTGCGGCTCTCTTCTGCACGAACCAGAGATATTGCTTCAGTTAGAGAGGGAAACTCAAGTCTGCTCAGAATTTGAATCCGTACAAGATCAAATTCAGAATTTAGGCCAGTCAAAAAATCATAAACTCGGTCCCTTTCTATAAACTTTTTGATGACCACTGCACATTTGCCACAGTTCAAATCAAGTGTCCTATAATAATCCAGTTCCTACCACTGCCATTTAGTCTATATGCTGCCTGGATGTTCTGAAGCTCTGTTGTGCTTCGTGTAATCTGTTCTTCCGCCACAGTTGAAGACAATTGTGGCGATGGCGTTGAAGATGTAGTGTCCGTCATGATTGAATAGGATCAAATAGTAGGTGGAATAATAATCAGAATGAATAGGAAAAGAAAAACAGCGATGAAGGCTGGAGAAAATAAGAAACAAACAAGCAATTAAGGTTGGGATTAACAAGAAGCAAAGGTGATGTTTTTTTTTCAGAAACCCTAGATGGGCTCTGATACCATGAAGAAAAATGATGAAGAAAAACGGATCTGAATTTTATTTATTCCGTATATTTTCTTTACAATTCATTCTAGTATATATATATACAATTTCTGTCACACTAAATAAGGAAAGTTTACAGTTAATTCCCTTAATCTTAGGAACAAATTATTGACCTTGATTTCCTCCACTAACTTTCCTGAAATATCCCTAAGATTACTCATCCGAGATTTCCTACAAATCTGTCCCTGATTTTCCTCCACTAACTTTCCTGAAATATCCCCTAAGATTACTCATCTGAGATTTTCTACAATTTCCCTTATTACCATTCACACGCAAATTTATATTTTAGGACGAACTTTATACGTCCAATGGCTTTAGCATTTTGGTACCTAACTTCCCCAACGTTTGAAACTTTTTAGGATGATCTGGCAATGAAATGACTTTCCTTGGTCTATTTACATGTTCCAAGGCCTCCATCATTTGCATGATAGGAAGCAGAAAGTACAACGAGATGATTAGTTTCACTTGATAATTTTCTCAGTCCAAAATTTGAAACTTTAGCATTCCAAACAAAAACTCCCTTCCCATGTTCTCCCTAGAAGTGACATCATGATATTAAGCCAATCTGGGAAAGGTCTGGAAGAATGGTAAATAATGGTAATTCACCTGCCAAATATCCTTTTAGAATTCAATAGCGAACTCACTTTCGAAACTCTGACGTTGGTGCTACTTGAAAATCATTCATGCATAGAATCTGTCCATGACTCCAAGATTTTGAAAGAGAGGTGGAATTCCCATCCGTACTAGGATACCAGGTGTGTTGTGTGTAATATAAACTGCAGATAACAGGTTGCAGGAGTAATAATGGTCTTCCGTAGTCATTTACCAAACTAGATCAATTTCATGAATTTTTTTTAAGGATTAGCAGTCTCCCATAAATCTTAAACTGGCAAACTTCCTCTTATTTGAAAGACTATAACAACCTGATATTCTATTAGCAGCCTTCTAGAATGTGGCTTTGCTGATGAGCCCAGCTTGAGAAGACAATACAAAGTAGATATGTTTTAGATCTTGATGTAAATATCTTCGACATGAATCAAGTTCTAAAAGGTTTAGTCTTCTTTTCTTGTTTCCACTTCCTTTATGCTCTGTAATTTTATTTGTTGCTTGTAAATTAGGTTTATTTGTTTGCAACCAACCACATTCTGTAGCAAAGGAATAGGATAAATGACCATTATCATCATTTCTAGCAGCTCTTCTCTTACCTCTCCCGCTTTCATTTTGGTGATCCTGGACAAGGCATGATATGCTAGGTGAAGGTAAATGGTGTATACACATGCTGGAGAGCCATTATATTACCTTGACTAGGTGATAAATCTGTATAGTTATTTATTTCTTTGCATTTCCTATATCATTAGCTATTCTTAAATAGCTACTCATATGACTACAAACCTCTGTATACATATTTTCGATATAAACTTATTGGCATTGTTTTGGATAATGAAACCCCTGTCTGCCTCTTTTTTGTTCATAATAATCAATATCCAACTCCATTCTTTGCATTTCTCTACACCTTTATCTAAACACCCTGAACCTTACCTCTTATTTCAATAATATTGCACTAAATCTCCATCTCATTTGGTATTTGATAAATATTCATGCATATTCACGAATACTTATCGATTATCAAAGTATATTTATTTCGCTAAAGAATTTGATTTTCAAATAGTATTTAAATTCATAAATAAAAATTATTCCTTTATAATATATGATGTATATATATATTTAAGTCAAAATTTTCATTAGAAAATAGATTTAAGATTATTTAAGTCTTAAAAATCAGTGCATAAAAACTTAAGTAGAAATGATAAGTGGGTTAAAAATATGACATCATATGTGCAATAATACAAATAATAAGTGAGCAAATTTTAAACGAATGTTTGATAGACAAATGAATCGAATGTATAACTGGTTAAATTCTATTTGTTAGTAAACTCGAATACTAAAAAATATTTGTTTAGTAGTAAATGAACTACGGAATCAAATATGATACGAATAGTTACTCGAACAATTATCGAACTATTTGTTAATTATTTGGTTCATTTCCACCCCTAGTCTCACATTCAACCCCATTGGTTTATACTTATGTATTTTGTCTAATCTCATGAGGGTGTTTTGGTTGTTTTTTTATTCTTTTTTTTTTTTTTGGGGGGGGGGGGGGGGGGGGCAGGGTGTGGTTCAAAATACTGTTCTTCATGGTCCTTTGTTTCTTCTCAACCTTTGATTGTAGTTTTCATAAACGAACACTTTTATGTTCAAAATGACATATCCAATTGTCTAGTTCCGTCCCACTATAATCTGGAAACTTCATATGTTATCTTCCAGCTTTTTCAGAAAATTGGATGTACTCCAGGTTTTAACAGTGACATAGCGGACCTTGGAATTGTTATTTGATGTCATTTAATGTGGGAACCAACTTTCAACAAATATTAATTGTTTGTGCACCCAAATGTTCCACCTAACTTTAATGACTTCTTCAGTTATCAGAAAGGAGAGAAAAAAAAGGGTCAATCTTTTGCTTTGGCTTGTACGGTAAGAACCCATCGAATTTTTTCTCATGCTAATAGATACACAAATAACTACATAGATCAAGGGCATCAGGTTTCAAGCTTTTCTATGCCGGAGGACTAAATTTACATACTTCCTTAATGATATCATGCCGAGGTGAGTATGTCCTTTGATTGCTTGACTGGAAGTGGTACATGAGCCTAACAGTTGATATGTTCATCTGCTGGGTTGGAAAAAAAACTTAGACATTGCACACAACATGTAGTGTAAGTTCAGTTACTGAAACTGTTACTAGAAAAGTTATCAGTATCATCGTCATCATTATCGTCATGATAACAGTGACCTAAGGTTTTTGTAATCACCATAGGTCAACTATGTGACGTGCATTAAGATTGAGAAAGCTCTTCATGACTGACCTGTTAGTCAGGCAGTGTCAACCCTTTGACCTGTAAGCAATTATTCAAAATTTTCCTATTCTAAAGAATTGTCTAGATGAGGAGGAGAGATGGTAGGTTGAGTACAAACATAAGCAATGAACTGTTTGACTTCTTTTATGCAATTATTTGCATAATTTGTTATAAATTATCAGTATCTATAAAATCGGTTCTCTGTTATTTTTATGTAAACCTCTCCATTTATTACTTGCTCTTTTGTTTTGTTGAGATCAAGGCTCAAACCTTGCTACATCAACATTTTCTATATTTTTTTCTCACAATCAATCTCGGAGGAGAATGCTAACAAGGATGTCATTTAGGAAGAGGATTCCTGTGAAGTATTACAATTCTGACTATCTAAAATTTCCGAGCCTTGTTGTGAGATATTTCTCAGTCTTTGGTCCCTCTTATCAAACTTTCTTGCTTTTATATTTGCACTTTACGTTGAAGCAAAGTAGTCAACTGTTATTGCGTTGGCTGCATATTTGATTTTTTTTCACATATATCACTTCTCTATAGACATAATGGCTATATGAAGGTTACATGCACTTTAATGCTTTAATGGTTAATCTTTTTTTTTAATTTGATGCCTGAAGTTTAAATTTGCCCCCAACATTTTTAAGCTGCAGTTAATCCTGTTAACTTTATCGAAAGGGGGTAAAGTTACACTAATTCCCATTTTTTATTAATTGTTTGAATATTTTTTTTTAGTAATTTGGCATTTTCTTCCCAATCTTTTCCAAATCACCAAAGTGTAATTCCTAAATTAGGTTAAAAATTTGGGACACACGTTTAAGCTATTGAAATGTTGTTAAACTTGTTACTTTCTGTTATTTTTTTCTTAAATTGAATTTGTGGCAGTGTGATGTATCGAAAAGAATGTTATCTTCATTGCAAAATCGAGAAAAACAATTTGGAATCATGATAATAGTAGATGCAAGCAAAAGAGAGTTTTTTCTTACTAAAATTTCTTTCCTTTGTGTTAAACTAAGAATAAAATTTATTAAGAAAAAAATTTCTCCTTCATTTTGCATGTGTTTTTCAGATAATAACAGATGCAAAGCAAAGTAGATAGCTTATTCTTTATAAAACTTTGTGCTTGGGACAAGCGAAAAAAATGATTTAATACTTTGTGTAAATGAATTAGGAAACTTAATCACAATTTACCTTTTATAGTAATTTTTAAAGTAACCTATATACAACCTCAAGTATTGAATTCTATTCGGCATACATTTTGCAGGTCATCATTGACTCACAGCCTTTGACAGTTTGCATCCTGGCAGCACTATTATTTGGAGAATCAATTGATGCGATTGGCGCGGCTGGTCTTGTGCTTGGTGTCATTGGGCTTCTCCTTCTTGAGGTAGTAATGCTGATTTTTTTCTTTTCTCTTGGGATTTAGTTGTGTTAGAGTATAAAAATTATGACATATAAAATTATAACCCTCAACCCTCACTTTTAACTTCAAAGTTTGGTGTCGGTAGAGACAATATGATATCAGACAACCCAATTTGAAATCCAACTAGCCACACACTTATAATCGGATTAAAAAACATGATATCCATGTGTGAGTCCATGTTTCGGCGAGGCATGTTAGAGCATAAAGTTATAATCCTCAATTTTCACCTAATTTTAAGTTTTCGTGTGGTGGCAATACGGGTCGATCCAGGATTTTGATTCATTTTAAGCACACTATCAGAGAAACTATTTGGAATAATTCTTTCATAGACATTGTATCAAAACAAGAAAAATAATAATTTCGAAGCATTAAACAAAATATATGTGTTATGAAATTAAACATATGTGCAGCATGACAACAGTACATATTTGAATAAAAATTCAAATATGTCATAAAAGTTGCATGTATAAATTTTTATGAGTTATTGAAAAGAACTTATGACCATTGGAAGATGAGGACTGCAAGTAAGAATAAAATTAAAAATCATCAAAGTCATCTGTAGTATCTAGTTATTTGAATATGATAGTGAACTCATAAATGTTTTCTTTCAAAGACAAAGAACACATGCAAATGAGCTTATACACCAATCTCCTACTACAAATAAACTATCAACTATCTTAGAGTATAGGGGTGGAGCTTCTAAATTGGAGGTAGGGAACAGGTCCTACCTCAAATGTATGTGTCTCGCCCTTGAGTGGCAGGGACCTTTAAGAAGTTTCATACTAACATATTCGGGAAGTATAATACTTCCGAATGATTATTTAAGCAGGAAACATTATTTTTTGCAAATGTCACTAAACGAATTACAAAATATTAGATAGGCAAATGTCACTAAAAAAATAGTCACCAACATTAGAGTTAGTTATCTTTGTCAAACGTCTTTCTCACGCAAGATGCAAGCTTAGGATCAGCTTGGATAAATATTTCAGAGTGCTCATGATCTCCATTTTGATAAATATAATTTCTTCACCTGTTCCCTATTTCTTCCTTGTTTTGAAGTTTTTTGCCTGTAGACTGTAGAAATGAAACAAGATAATGAAAGAGAAAGAAAAGAAAGTTGGGGTACTGGAAAAACAATTAGATTCTCATGCTAGTCATGGCTATTCCTCACAGATGATCCGTTACCTCGATAAATGGCATCAAATTAGGTTATGTGGACTAGGGAAATCCAACTGACAAAGTGATAGGAGCCTTCCATGCAGATTGATTCCTGTCGCATTTGAGAAATGAAAATGATTGTGGTTTAATATTTGACCATCTAGTGGTGGGATAAGATTTGGATGAAGATGCTGATGAAGATGTTATTGACAAGTGCTTTCATTCTGAAAACATTTTAATCACAACATTTTGCAGGTTCCAGCACTTTCATTTGAAGGAAACAATTCAACAATATGGGGAAGTGGAGAATGGTGGATGCTTCTTGCAGCTCAAAGTATGGCTGTAGGAACTGTCATGGTTCGTTGGGTTTCCAAGTATTCCAATCCTGTCATGGCAACTGGATGGGTAAGTTGCATTTTGTATTACCTAGGGTTCATGTTGATGGGATGGATATGAAATTTGAAGTCAGTGAAAAAGTTCAATAGTAGGCAATCACTTTAGTGAAAAACAAAGCAACTATGGAGGGAAAATATTTTCTGCATGTGTTTCAGTATCTAGCCATTTTGATTTGTGGTGTGGGTCTTTAAATGTCACTATAACGGGAATCTGAAACCCAGGTATTCTGAGAAACAAATTTACAATCTGCATCTGCTTTTTAAGTGTCAGAGTGAGTTCGATCCATGTATACGTAAGTTGTTGTAGAGTTTCACTTTAAATGCATACTTACTAGCTAGATATTGT